ATGAGGTCCCGTATCCACAGGGGCCTTGAGACAGACGTCTGTACCCAGACCCCAAACAGGTAGAGAGAGATGAGGGCTATGGGAGCCTACCTGCCGATGACAGGGGTCTGCTGCCCAGGCCGGTCAACAATCTGGTGAGTGATGCAGGAGTCTGTAACGTCGTAGGTGGCCCCGATGCACAGAGACTTGTCCCACGATACGTCTCCCCCAAAACTCCTACAGGCACAGGGGGAGCCCACAAGAACATTCAGGTATGAGGTGCCTGCCCTGGGACCTACTGGCCCACAAGCTCATCCTCCTGGGAAATGGCTGTCCCCTCCCCACCCCAAGATCCCCTATCTGACTGATGTCTCCAATGCTGACCCGGTGGAGACCTTCTGCCCAAAGCTGGTGAGAAAGTGATGACAGCGACCCTGTGATGAGCACTTCCCGCGTGCTCGGGGCATGCTGAGCACTTTCTTCGCACTATTTTGTTGAATCTTCACAAGAGCCCTAATAAGTGGATAATGACACCATCCCAGTGTTACTGGTGGGCATCCAAGACTGCTCCAGGCAGGGCAAGACCCAGCCCATAGTGTGACTGAGCCAGTGCTGTGTGTGGGCTTCCCTACCTGATAATGAAAGCCAGGGCCTCACGTGGCACTTCGCGGTTCAGGAAGAACTTCAGGCCTTCAAAGAGCTTCTTGTGCTTCTCCTGTGCCTCCAGTTCCTTCCTGCGGCCCTCCTCCTGTGCTGCCATGTCCTGCCGACAAAGGGGCCAGAACTCACACCATCAGGCCCATTCACACCCCCACCGGAGGTCAGGGGTTGCAAATGACACCCCCAGCTTCCTTCTAGACCTTCTAGTCCCAATGCTCCCTGCCTGCCCGCTCCTTCTGAAAAACCATGCAGTCCTTACCCCATCGGCAGGAAACTCGTCCACCTCGACCTCTTCCTCTGCAGGCACCACCACTCGGGCCAGACTGGCACTGAGGGCCGCCAGTTTCTACAGAAAAGCAGGGCTTCGAGGCTGTTGTTTGCAGGGGGATGGCGGGGGGCATCTGGGGGTGTAGCCAGGGTCGGGGAGGGGTAGCAGTGATAGTTCTGGGACATTAGTGGGTCTGAGTTCTAAGGAAAGTCCCAAAACCACATATGTAGCCACGACCACTCCCACCCCTGGGCCAGGGATGGTAGATGCAGAGCTGATGCTCTAGAAGCCCGTCTCACCTCCATAGAGCTCTCAGAGTCTAACGCGTAGCTGTCTTCATGGGCTATCGCCTCTGCATGGGCCTGACCCTCGAGCTGGGAGACAGGGGAAGGTCAGAGGAAGAGGATGCCCATAGTACCCACTGCCATGTAGGGGAAGAAGGGCTGTAGCCCCTTCACAGTGAGGAGGTGGCGCTGGGCTGGGGCCCTACCTTGGGCGGGTAGTGCAGGTTGAGTAACTGGTAGAGGCGAAAGTTGACGAAGCCCAGCAGAGTGGTATAGAATTCAGTGAAGGTGGCCATGACCCTGTAGTCCACATCTGTTGGGTGCTGGGGAGCACAGGAGGCACATCAGCAGGGTAGGGGCAAAGATGGCACTGACAACCTACACAAGGCAAGGAGCTCCTCAAAGGCAGCCCTGCCTTCGGAGCTCTGCCCTAGGGGAAGGGGCTGTGTAGTATGTCCCCACCCAGGAGCATTCTGGGCACCAGAGAGGCTCTAGACAGGAGTCGCAAGGGTTAGGGATGTCCTGGAGGCCAGTGCCAGATTCTCAAGCTATAAAAGGGGAGCAAGGAGAGAGTGCACGAACACCTTTACCATGCTGTTTCCAGAATGCCAGGCGCCCTCCCTCTCCTGCTCCAGTTCTCCCCTCACCTTGCAAGTCCCAGCTCAGACTTCTGTCTTTGCAGAGGCCATCTTCCCCAACCAGTATGCTCAGACCTCATGCCTTCCCCATCCTGAAACCCTCATTTACTGTCTTCTCCAGGGCCAGCCTGAGAGCATCTAGGGGGCAGCAATCCCAGAGCCCAGTCCTACTGCTAGCCCAGCTGAGAGAGGTGGCTTTGGAGTAGTCTGTCTGCCCAGTAAGGGCAATGAGTGGACGACGCTCAGTGTCCTCGAGCCCTGGCAGGAGCCTTGGGATGGACACTCAGAATTCAGCAACCCGACCTAGGGCTCAAACCTGAGATAGGCTGGGGCAGCTGCCTGACTCAAATCCAGGGTGATCTGGAGAAATGGAGAGCAGAAAGGTTGCCTGCTTCGAGCAAAGGTACAGGGCCATCCTTGTGAGCTGCCAACCCAGCAAGCAGGGGACATGGGAGGGCTCATCTTTGACTTTGAGGAGTTAATGAGACCCAGACCAAAGCACCTCGACTCTTGAGAAGCACTGCCCTTCCAACCAAGGAGGCTAAGGCCAGTCCCACGGACCCCCAGGACCTGGACGGGAGGTTATGCCAAGCAATGCCTAAATTGGTAGTAATCACAATGACCCTTTTGTGCTGAGTATGCTTGTGACTAAGCTGTTTCTCCATCCTGTCATCAGGCAGTGACCTGGGCTGTAAGGGCACAGGGCCACAAGGTACCCTACCTTTCCCCGCACCTACACTTCCATCCTTCTGAGACCATCTGCCAGGACCCTTAATGGGCCTAGTGAGCATCTGAGTACCAACTCCATTTCCCACAGTACAGTGCTGAGAGGGCCCCCCGCCACCGGCTTGGGTCCCACTTTGGGGAGCTCAGCACTGGCTGCTTAGGGGGAGAGGGCACATCAGGGTCTCAGCTATGACCCAGGACCAGTCCCCCATCCTGCTGAGAGGAAGTAGAGGTAGTAAGCTGGCCAAGAAGGAAGAATGAGTAGCCGTTCCCTTCCCCCCAGCCAGCTGTGTGGAGGCTGGCCTCCACAGGGCCCTATTCACCACCCAGGAGGACACACAAAGACCAGTCTGAGCAGCACGGGGGTGGGACATTAGAGAAAAGGAAGGAGCGGGAGGGCCACAGAGGAAGAAGGGAAGGAAGACCGAAGAAGGCAGGAAGGAGGAGGAGAGGAGGGAACAGAACAGGGAAGAGGGAAGAGCCACGGGCTCTGGCACACGCACCTGTCCCATGGAGTAGGAACGTGGACTACGCCCACCTCTCACTGACTATAGCCTACCACCATCACCGCTGTTTGGCAGTCATAGTGGTTCCAGTCCTCGAACCCCCACTAGCCCAGGGTAAAGGAGAAGAGCCCAGACCACCGGCTCACTCTGGAGCACCTAATACCTGGTCAGCAAACCCACTGTCCAGCCAGGCTGGCACATCTGCTCTCCACTGAAGGCACCAGCTCCCACTCAATGCACGAGTAGGAAGCTGGACAGAGTGCAGGCCCACAGAATGACAAGGTGGTGAACCTGGCTGAGACTAGAGGCTAATGATGCCCCATAAAGAGACAAAACCAGAATTTCTCTCCAAAAATTCCCAGCCTGAAAAGACAAATAAGTAGTGCCACCCTCCCCAATCTCCCCCAGTGCTCTCAGCAATATGGGGGTAATGGGGGTGGAGGAAGCTGAGGAGTTAAGCAAAGTGGCTTGGCCAAGGTGTGGTAGCTGCTGGCAACAGAGCAGGAAGAGGCCCCCAGTGGGTCTGAGGGTGGGGCTGGGCTTAGCCACTGTCTGGACCTCCGTAGCCACTCACTATTCAATCAGTGACCCCAAAGGGCCAAGCACTAGGCACTTTGAAATTTTTTATTCAGTCCTCACAACAATACTTAGAAAGTGGAAGCGCATCCCAAATTGAGATATAGAGAGGTGAAGGAACATGTTCGAGATTACCCAGCTAGGGGCTGCTGGAGCCAGGCTGGCTGGAGCTCTTATTCCAACGTTGTGCAGCATGCTCCCCACCTGACCCCACATCCCCACCAACACTTAGGAACCCAGCACATGCTGCACTCCACAGGACAGCAAACCCCCCTCGCTCATGCCCTTATCTCTGTCTAGGAGCTAGAGGGAGCAATGGCCTGCCCCATGGGCACACTCACATCATGGGAGAAGGTGTAGGGCGTGATCCACACGATGGGCTGCCCCAGCACTTCAGCCTGGTAGTAAATGCCTTTGATGGACAAGAAGACCTGGATTGTGGAAGAGACAGCATGGTGAAAACCAAGGGGACAGTGGGAAAGAGAGCAGGTGGAGCCCTGCCACGTGGCCCTCGGCTCACCTTGCGCAGGGCCCGGGCGGCGATGATGTAGTGCAGGAACTCCACGGTGAGCCGGCGGCACAGCTGAATGGTCTGCACATGGCACTTGCCGGTCCGGGGGAATGTGGAGAAGAGGAAGCACATGGACAGGGCGTCGTCCAGGTCTCGCAGAGCATCTATGAACGTGGGGTACCTGCATGGCCAGAAGGGCAGCACCCACAGGCTCAGTCATGGGTCACTCTGGAGGCCCCATTCTCTAAGCCAGGCCTTGCCACTGTCACCTCCTGACCAAAAAGTCGGGCAGGGAAGTGCCCAGGGGCCTGGCAGTACCAGCTTCCTCACAGGCTTGGGAGGAACCACATAACCAGAACACGCCCACTTAGCTCTAAAGATCTGAGAAATCCTGGCAGGGGCCTCTAAGATACCCACTGCAAACCAAGGACTTGGCCACGACCCACTTCTATAAGTTGTGGCTAAAGAAAAGAGACTGAGTCAGCAGCTCCCTAACTCTTTCTCAAGGTAGAAACTTCAGATCAAAGGAAATCTATCTGGAGGTCCAAGATAGAAAGCAGAAAATGTGACACTGCTCTAGTGGACCAGGGCAGGGGGTGGGGGCATGCCTGTGCTCAGCAGCACTTATGTCCTGACCTGGCCACAGGTCACCAGAGTGGGTTGCTTGTCTCTCATTACTAAGACCTTGGTCTAGTTTACAGAACCAATTAGAACCAGACAGTAAAAATGCTGGAATTGAGTCCTAGGCCAGGAAAAGCCAGAGCAAGAAAGTACTTCCAGGAATCCTGTGGTAAATAGGAAGCCGATGAGAATAAACCTTCCTTGGCAGGATCCTCTACCACATGGCTGTCCCGCTGAGGGACAAAGGCATGGGTCATGGAGAGGATACAGGATTACAAGTATTGTAAATTCTAGTTCCAACTGTGACCCAGGATGGCTCACTCTGTCTAACGCAACCCCAGTGATTTCGTTTGGAAAATGATACCACTGGACCAGACCACTAGTTTAAACCTGGGCTCCCTGGAAGCACCTGGGGACAAGTGGACGGACAGGGCTTCAAGTCTTCCTCCCTTGGCCAGAGCAGCTGTCAGAGCCTCTGGTATCCAAACTGTCTTTCAGAAAACTTCCTTTTGCAGAAAGCATTCTGCTGCTTCAAAAAGGGACTCTGAAAGCTATGAGACCAGAGATGGCCAAGGTCCTTCCAGCCCTAGATGGCATCACTCACTGAAGACGAGTCAGGAGGGGTCTGCCAGGTCTTCAAACCCAGACCAAGATGGAAGAAAGGCAACAGGGATCTCAAGTAAGACAATAGGAGAGGGATCCTGTTTCCTGGTACAGAGGCCAGAACCAGACTGGCCCCCTCTGAAGCCTCCAAGTCTCTCTACTCTCCACCTCCCAGACAAACCCACCAACCTGGGCCCTTTGTAGAAACAGCACCATTTCTGAGTCACCTGCTTTACTTTCTTAACCAATGGCTAAGGAGATTGGGGGGCGTGGGGGTGCAGGTGGCACTGAATAGGACCACCATAACCACACTGCTATCTGGTGTGTGCATGAATCCAGATACTTTGCTTTTTTCTTGTGCATTTTCTTCATTTGTTCCACACAACAGCTGTGTGTCACAGGTAGAACAAGAGCTATCGTCATCTCTCTGTTAGAGAGGAGGACATGCTTGGAGCAGGAACTATTCTTGTGCCCACTCAGCTTGTGGGCTGCAGGACTGGGGTGAGAACATTGGCCTATCGGGCTCCTAGGCCAGGGCTCTTCCTGCACTAGCACATAGCTGGCCTGACTCAATGAAGCTAAGTCCATCCAGCCTGGAGCTAAGTGTTCCCAGGTCATCGGCCCTTAAGAGAGGATGGACATTCACTTAGCCCAGGGTTTCTGAACCTTACCACTACTAACATTTTGGGACAGGTTATTATGTGTTGTGGGGTCTGCCCTATGCATTGTAGGGTGTTTAGGAGCATCCCTGGCTTCTTCCCTTTAAAAACCAATAGACCTCCCCCCCAACACTCATTCAAGTCATGAGAACCAGAAGTGTCTCCAGAGCCCCTGGTTAAGAACCACTAACTCAATCAATAAATGAGAGGAACTGCTGAGAAGGCTGGGCGAGGAACAGTTAAGATCAGGTGTCCAATCATGTCCTCCAGGTCTAACCATGCACCTGGTGTGCGCGCCCCAGAACTCTGTCTCTTACCTTTGCACTCACTGTGCCTCTGCTTGGACTGTGCTTCCCCTGGCTGGCTCAAATGTCTCCCCTCAGAGAGACCTCCTCTGAAAAGCCTGTAACTAACATATGTCTCCCAGTTCCCTGCACCAAGTTAGCATCCCTCATGGTACTCACTGGACTTGCCATCATTGTAGCAATTTGTCAGTTTGGATTTTGGTCTGCTTCCTCCAAAAGGATGCCAGCAGTTTGGACAGGGTCTTAATCTTGTTCTTCACTGTATACCCAGTGCTAAGACTGGGCCCCAACTTACCGCTCCTTGACGATGTGGTCAAGTTTGTAGTTGGGCTTGTTGTCCTTCAGTCGCTCCACGGTGTTCCATTCATTCTTCCCATAGGCCTTTCGGAGCTTCCGGACAAACACCTGGAAGGGAGGAGACCAGTGATGCTGGGGCCAAGGGTTCCTGGAGACCCCTCTTCCATGGAGAAGGCATACGTGGGGCAGGAAGACCCCCAAGGCCTCCTGAAGCTGACCACAGCTGTCTCATTATGCCGCCTGCCCCCTCAGCCCAGGATGTGCAAAAAGACCAACTCTAAATAATGTCAAAACTGACTCGCTCTAACAAGCAGAGTCTGTATAATGACATTTCAGTCAACAACAGACTGCATATACAACAGTGGTCCCATAGATTATCAAGGAGCTGAAAAAACCATATCACCTAGTGATGTCATAGCCATCATAATGTCATATCACAATGCATTACTCACGAGTTTGTAATGATTCTGGTGTAAACCAACCTACTGCATTGCCAGTTGTACAAAAGTATACCACATTGTGTACAGTATATAATACTTGATGATGATAATAAACGGCAGTGTGACTGGTTTATATATTTCCTATACGATACGTTTTATTCTTACTTTATAATGTATTTTACTTGTTAAAAGTTTGTTTTAAAACACTATGCCATGTTACACCAGCAGCAGCCTCATACATGTCGTATTTACCATGTCTCTTGACGGCATTGTTTTATTTTGTGCTCGATTTAGTCGCATGTTGTTTTGTACAGTAACATGCTGTATAGGTTTGGAATCTAGGAGCATTAGGCTATCCCATACAGCCCAAGTATGTAGTACGCTACACCATCTAGGTTTGTGTAAGCACCCTCTATGACATTCACACAATGAAGAAATCACCTAATGACACATTTCTCAGAATGTATCCCCACTGTTAAGCGGCATATAACTGTAGTGGTAAAACCCAGCAGAAAAATAGGGCCAGCCATCACCTCAGTGGACTTGGGCAAGGGGGCCAGCAGCTGCTGCTGGCCAGTCTCCTGTAGCCACCAGGTGGTGTCCCACCCTTTTCACGAAGGGCCTCAGCTTGGCTCTGCCTCAGTGATAGTCTACTTTCAATTATCTGTTTGGTATAAACAGGTTTCTACTTTCCCTGTGGCATTAAAGCAGTTAATTGTTATTTGTGGAATGAAAAATTTGGTCTCCTGGGGAGAATTCTGGGAGGAATTTGAAATAGGTATGGTTTCTTTGGGCAGAGAACACACTTGAGAGTCTCTGAAACAGCAGGATCTTTGACTCAGAGGCGATAAATTTACTTTTTCAAAAGAACCAGGGGAGACTACCTAGGAAGACCAGTTGCTGTAGGCATAAAAAAAAAATTAAAAAAATAAGGGATTGTAAGCTAACAAGGTCCTTGTAATCTGTGAGGTCAACTAAGGGTTGCCTCACCTTAAAAAAAAAAAAAAAAAAACAGGGGAAAAGTACAACAGGTAAAGCATTAATCATTTGGCAGATTCTGTGCAAAGGATTTCCACAAGTGATCTCAGTCAAACCTTGAGACACTGTGACGTAGAATTACCTCACCCTTTATACACGCTTGCTCAGAGACTAAACAATCTACCCGAGGTCACAGTTAGTGGGTCACAGAGCTGTGATGGGCCCACCAAGAAATACCCTACAGCCCGGCCCTTACCTTGTATTCTCGGAATTTGTTGACGATGGGTTCATGGAGAAGGAACTTGATGTCTTTGATAAGGTAAAAAGTTCGGGCCGCGGTGGAGCCCTTGTTAACCTTCTTCTTGTGTTTGGGTTCATGGGGATAAATGCCCTTCAGAATACACAGCCGCCTAGAAGACAAAGTCCATTCCTTCTGTCAGTAAACGTGCTGAGCGCTGGTCAAGCTGGGCTTGGAAAACAGCAGTAAACAGGGAACACAAGGACCTGCACTAGAACTCACATTCTAGTGCAGGAGACCGACAATCATAAGTTCCCCCAAATCACATAATGCAGACGGTCACAAGCACCAGAGAGGAAACAATCAGGAGGCTGACAGGGCCAGATGGCAAGCACCCCTCTCAGTCTTGCTGAGAAGTTGACGCTTCAGCCATATAAAAGGTGGAGGGAAGAGTATCCTGAGAAGGACAAAGGCTGTAAGGGCGGAAGTGTGGGCACACATAAAGGACTGTAAGTGGGCTAGGTGGCAGGGCCCACAGACGTGCAGGAGTCTGATCTGACTCCACAAGCTGATAACCCTTAACTGCAGGGTAAAGGGTCTCTTCTGCCAGAAGAGGGGGAAGGGCAACAAAGACCCAGAAAGAGAGCAGCAGTGTGTTACGGCAGCAGGGCCATTCTGATAACTCACAGCAGCTGACCCAGGTCTCCTCCAGCTTCCCCAAAGACCACACCTGACAAAGCACAGCTCACACTAAAGCAAGACCAAGTGAGAAAGAGGAGGAGTATCAAAATTCCAGACAGAGGCAGTGCAGGAAGGCAAGGAGGTGAGTATTCCCTGTGTGATTCGCTCTCCAAGCACCCTATTCCACTCCTCTCCAACCTCACCTGAAGTCAGGCAGGCTCAGCTGCAGCTTCTTCCGGGCTTTGTTTCGGGTGATGTAGTTGGTGGCAGAACCTCGTTCATACTTGGGGAGGAAAAAAGCAATTAGGAACGATTACAGTGACTGACATCAACCTCTGGATATGCCTTGTGCCAGAGGAAATTATCACTATGGATAAATGGCCGAGAAGTTTCTGGGATAGGAAACGCTTTAGGGAAGGAGCCCACCACCTAAATGAACTCTCCTGCACTGTCCTTAGCCGTAGTCAATATAAAGGACACATACATCTGCATGGTGCTGGGGACCATGAGGTTGCTATGGACTAGGTGCTGTGCCAAGCACTTACTAGTAGCTCTAAGTATTGGCCATTATGATTAGCAATTTCCACACATTATTTCATTTAATTTCCATAACACTGAGAGGTGGGTACCATTAAAACTCCCATTTCACATAGGAGGAGATATTTCAGTGAAATAACCTGCCCAGGTCACATAGCTTTTTAAGAGCTGAGGCTGGGATTCAAACCTAGGTGAGTCCAGAGCCTGGATGCCTAATTCACTAAGCCAATGTTCTCAACTTTTTTTCTTTATAACCACCCCATCACCAGCAGAAACCTTTTTAGAGCTTTCCCCGCCTTAATCTCCCCCCCCCCCAGAGCCCCATGAATTGTTAATACCAGAGATATACTATAGACCCATTTATGTAATGTGGTTCTTCAGAGGCCATAAACCATTGTAATATCTAAGACTCCGTTCCCCAACCAATTTTTGTCTCCTCGTCAGTGATATCGTCTGGTTAAGAATGCATGCTCTAAGCCATAAAGCCTCTCCCATTCCCCATTCACTCATTCAGCAGACAATAAACAGATCTCTACTATGTTCCAAGAATTAAGTTAGATGCTCTGAGGGCAATCAAGACAAAAATCCTGGTCTCTATCCTGCTTCCAAGGAGCACACTGTCTTGTGCAACCATGGATGTCTATGATGCCAAGATGCTGCCTCGCACTCACCTGTCTCTGATACAGCAGCAGTGCACTGTACCAAGCACCATGCAACACTAAGTATGTCCTTTCTAAACAAGATCTTCCCCTAGATTAAGAAAGCAAAGGCTTTGATGGCCAGGTGCAGCTTTAAATAGATGAACCTGTAGCCTCCTGAGGGGTATGTTTATGAATAACCCCACAGTCATGGAACATTCATTCTTTCCTTCAGAAATTTATTGTCTACTGGGGATCAGGTCCATGCCAAGTCTTGGGGACACAAAGATGAGTTTCAGACTATTTCAGAAAGTTGAGTCTTCATTAAAAGTGTTTTCCATTGCCTTATGCCATACATATCTCTGTCACCATGCTTATCCTTTTAAACATTAAGGGGTTAAGTTCTCAACTGGAGTGATTTTATTCCCTGGGGGTGTGTGTGTTGGGGGTGGGGGATAGGCATTTTGGATTGTTGGGTGCTACTGGCATCTAGCAGGTTACGAAGTCAGGGATGCTACTAAACATCCTACAATTCACAGGACAGCCCTTTGGGCAACAAAGCTTTATCTGGCTCAAAAGGGCTGTGAAACACAGCTTTAAAAACTGTCATGATTTGTTTACATATCCTCATCTGTGACACATCTTCTATCTTTGTAGTTCCAGTCACTAGTACTTACTGGGTGTTCAACAGTGTGTTAAGTTAAACACAAATTGGCAAAAGAAACTTTCAGGCCGAACGAAACACTTGAAGCAACCACATCTTCTTCACCCTCATCTCTTCCCCAATCTTCTCATGACACCAAAATGATTCTCCATATAGCAACAAGAACGCCTTGAAAAATCGATCATGGTACTCCCCCCTTTGGCTGAGTTCTACTGCACAGAGAATAAAATTCAAGCTCCTCGCTGTGGCTGACAGGTCCTACAAGATCCGGTCCTTGGTCGACCCCAGTCTCGGCAGATGCGATTCTTACCTTAGTTTATTATACCCCAGCAATCATGATGTCCATCCAATTCCTTGCACACAGAAAGCCTTTCCTACCTAAGGCCTTAGCACTTAGCTTTCCCTGCCAGGTTTGTTTAGTAAGCACTTCCGTGCCCCAGAACTCATTCCAGGTCTTCTGATCTTTCAGATTTCAGCTTCAATGTTATGGCTCAGAGAGACCTTTCAAGTCAATACTAACTGAAATAAGTATCCTTCTATATTCTCCACCCTTATCTCTCGTATGCTTCCTTCATAGAACATTTAACAATCTGTAAGTTTTTTTGGGTTATTTTAGAGTTCATCTCTCCCGCTAGAAAATGAGCTTGGAGAAAGCAGAGACCATATATGACTGTTTAGGTCACCATTCCCAGTGTCCAGGGAAGGGCCTAGTTCCAGAGAAAAGGAGATTAGTTTTAGACATGATGAATTCGACGTAATGGTGAACCTGACGTAATGTTTATCGCTATCCTTCGGCTAGGCCTGCTTTTAGGGGTGAAGCTATGCTTGGTAGCCAACTCTCTTACAGTCCTACTCCAGGTTTCTTTACCGGATTTCAGCGGACGAATACAGCCTTCCTCGCCCATCCTCGGACCCTTCTCACGGCTGTTTCCTGTCATATTGGTCGCAACGGGGGTCAAGGCCAGGGAAAGGCGCAGTCCCCAAGCTCCGTCTCGCTCCTGTTTCCTACCTCCCAGGGCCCCCTCCCCACCCCGTCCCGGCATATCCCCCATTCACCTTCTTCTTCTCCAGGCCTCCCATGGCACCACGCTGAAGTGGACTACAAGCGCCGCGCGGATTGACAGCGCTACTTCCTCTCACACGTGCCCTGCCTAGGTCCCCTAGGACCCCACGCCTCCCGTCTGCACGGGCTTCCCAACAAGATGCCTGAGCGAATTTTGGAAAAGATAGGGCTTTCCTCCTCAAGACTTACAACTGAACCTCTGAAAAAAATCACTGTGATCGCTCTTTTCCATCTATGAGCCTACTACAGACAGTTTTAATGTTTAAACGAAGAAGGATATTCAGGCACTTCTATAATTACCCTGATGACGAACGCAAAGCCTTTGAGCCCCGTTGCATGTTGGGATGGAAGGGGGCGGAAGATTTAAAGGTAGCGCAGAGCCTTCTGGGATACAGAGAAGCGCCCACTCAGGCCCGAGAGCGAGTGTTCCGATATCTTGGTAACGGTTGCTAGGCCGTGTCGGAAATTGGTTCCCTGGGCTGAAAAGCGGCCGCCAGGGGCGCTAAGTGAGGCTACCCTCCATTCTCTCCGAGCCATCGGATTTTTTTGCTTCATTCGCTGTTATGGGAATAAAATAAAGCAAAAGGAAACTATTTTCCTACAGAGACCTGAGAGGCGACTTATATTTTTCTGAACTTTAAAAGCTGGGCTGAAAAATGATGAAAGGCCAAGCAGAGTTATTGAACTCGTAGTATATTTTAAATGTACATTTAACACGTTTGAGCTTTGAATACGCACTCGTGAATTTTGTATTGTTCCTCAAAGGATAATTACGAGATTTATACAAATATTCGCACCAAGGTGGTGTGGTTTGGGGATTAGATACAATTTTAAAGTTGATATTTTCTTCCTTCAGGCCTCCAACCTATATTTGAAAATTGCCTCAAAATTTTAAATTTGAGGCCCTTGTAAATATGACCTGGCCCAAGGTTATGGTCATAGCACTCACCAATTAGTGGTAGATAGAGTTGTTAAGCACTGGCTAATGCTTATTTTGAATTTTATTATGTACTTTAAATTAAAGCTAAAATAAAATAAAACCCCAGAATGTCCACAAATAATGAAAAATGAAATTAATGTAGGAAGAAGGCAAGAAAACTAAAACGTTAAATCAAGCTATATTTGGAGATTGCATGTGCTGATGATCAACCTTACAGCCAGACCATGAGGAAACCTGCAGAACAAAGGAAGATTTCTGCTGGGATTGCTAACGAACCATTTCCTCAGATCATGGAAGGAAAACAGGAAAACAGCATCTTTAAGTCATGCCCTACACAAAATCAAATCAATTTTTCCCTATGGCTAAAATGAGGAACCTATGGAGCAAAGGCTGAGAATGCTAGCAGGCCTTTCATGCTACATATTCTTACTTTCCATGCAATGTACCTTTATCCTTTTACTCTGTATGCCATGTCATCAAAGGAAAATGAGTAAACAAAATCTTTAAACTGTAATGCAGAGGAGCTAAAGAATGATATAAACTTCCTAACACTGAGTCATTCTCAGTGCCTTTACTCTGTCTCTCTCACTGTCCTTATCTCCGCCATCTCTGTCCCTCTGAGTCTCTCTCAGGCTCTCTTACTCTCTGCCTCTAGTAGGAGACCATGCTCTGTCTATGGAGCATTACTCTTTCTCTAATAAACTTTCCTTTTGGTTCTAACTCTGGCATGCATTTGAATTTTTTCTTGCACTCAGCCAAGGACCCTTTCTCTCTTGGTGCAGGGCTTGAGCTCCCCTTCGACTTCGGAAATTTGCCTTGTCCTGCATCAAAATGAAATGAAAACCAGGTAAAGGAATTTGAGCTGGAAAGACTTTGAAGGAACTCGCCAGAGAGGTGTGAAGAAAAACGCGATGTTCACAGCAGAAGACAGAGGAGTGTTTCAAAAAGGATCTGAGGACAAAAGGAGTGGGGCTGACAAAGAGAAAGGAGAAAGAGACAACCCAGACCAGAGGCAAATGTTTAGGGGATTCAGAGTATGATAGCTTAAGTCCATTGTGACTGGAGCATGGGGGTGTGTTTGGCCAGAGGAAAAAAATCGATCTGAGAGGGCAGAAGTGGCTGGTTCGTAAAAGGATCTCCAGAGTAATAGGTCAGGTGGTCTAATAAGAGTGATGATTAACATCTATAACAACAAAACAAAAGTAAGAAGGGGAGAGCAGAAGGCTGAGGGCAGTCGCCCTTATAAAAAGTCCCAATTCTTTGCTCAGTTCTAAGACCCAAAGCAGTTTTCATATGTAGTGATACAGAACAGGGCAAATTCCCTGAGTGAGGGAGACTTAAGCCCTGAACTGAGAGAGAAGAGGGTTCTTGGAGGAGTGTTAGAAAGCAGACACATGCTGAAGTTAGAGTCAAAGGAAAGTTTATTAGAGAAAGGGTAACACTCCATAGACAGAGTGTGGTCTCCTCTCAGAGGCAGAGAGTAAGAGAGCCTACGAGAGACGCAGAGGGACAGAGACAACAGAGACGAGGACAATGAAAGAGACAGAGCAAAGGGACTGAGAGGGACCCTGAGTCTGGGAATTCAGTGTTTTTATCATTCTTATTTCCTGTGCTTTACAGTTTAAAGACTTTGTCTACCCATTTTTCTTTGATATAGACCAACAATGAGGAAAGATAAGAGTAGTAAAAAGGTAAGAATATGTAGCGTGAAAGGCCTGCTGCAGTTCCCAGTCTTTAATCCATAGATTCCCCATGGTTTTAGCCATAGGGAATAATTGATTTTATTTTGTGTAGACGCCACATAAAGACTCTGTTTTTCCTGTTTTATTTTCAGGGTGTGGGAAATGGTTTGTTAGCAATGGCAGCAGAAGTCTTCCTTTGTTCTGCAGTTTCCTTGTGGTCTGGCTGCAGGGCTGATAGGCCTATTACAGTCTCTGAATCCAGCTTGATTTAACATTTTAGTTCTCTTGCCTCCTCCCTACATTAGTAGAACCTATTGACTAAAGAGGTGGCTAGGTCCCTAGGAAACAAGATGCTTCAATACCATGACAGGTATAAACTGTGATGATTTCCCCCAGTTCTTCCCCAAAGGGACTGTGGCCACTTACTCAGGTGACTAGACACAGCAGAAAGGGAAATACCCAGACATTTGGAGAAGTGTTGGACAAAGGGTCTGAGACAACACTGATACAGACCTGATGGCCATTGTAGCCTCGCTGTTAGAATAGGGGCTTACGGGGGGCAGGTAAGAAATGGAATCCTGACTCTACTCTAGCTCACAGTCGGCCCACAGGATCTGAAGACCCACCCAGTGGCCACTTCCAAAGCCCTGAGCGTGTAACCGGCGTTGATATTACTAGGTGGGAGTAATCTCATATTGGGCCCCTGATCTGTGGGGTAAAAGATCTCATAGTGGGAAATACCAAGTAGAAACCTCTGAAATTGTCCTCTGCCCCATCCAAGATGGTAAATCAAAAACAATATCAAGTAATCAAAATACAGGCTACAGACTAGAAAAAAGTACTTTCAAATAACATATCTGATAAAGGCCGTTTATCCAGAACTCTTAAAACACAATAAGAAAATAAGGAAATGATTTGAAGACATATTTCAGATGGCAAATAAGCACCTTAAAATATGCTCAACATTATTAGTCATTTAAATGAAACTCTCAAATAAAACCAGAATGAGCTATCACTACACACCCATTAGAATTGATGAAATTCAAAAGACTGACCATATCAAGTGTTGGTGAGGATACGGATCAACTGGAACCCTCATACACTACTGATAAATGTAAAATTGTATCACCACCTTGGAAATAATTGGGCAGTTTCTTTAAAGTTAAATATGTATAAATGTATATATATATATAAATATATAAATATATGCATATCCAGTCACTCTATTCTGAAGTGTGTACCAAAGTAAATATTAGCAGGTGTTCGCACAGAGATTTGTACATGAATATTCTTGACAGCTTTATCTGTAGTAGCCAAAAAGTAGAAAAAAACCCAAATGTCCATTAATAGGTGAGTGGAGAAACAAACTATGGTATATCCATACAACAGAATATTACTCAGCAATGAGAGAAACAAACTATTGATAGAGAAGGCAACACAGATATATCTCAAAACAATTATGCTGAATGAAAGACACCAGAAAAAAAAGTTACATACTGAATTATTCCATTTATATAAAGTTCTGGAACGTTTAATCTACAGTGGTAAGAAGTAGATCAATGATTGCCTAGGGATGGGGCAGGTGTGGGGCGAGAGAGAGGCATTACAAAGGGGCAGGTAGAAGTGTTTCATGGTGATGGATATGTTCATTATCTTGATTATGGTAACGGTTTCACAGTTGTATACACTCGTCAAAATGTATTAAATTGTACCCTTTAAATATGTACAGTTTATTGTATGTTAATTTTACCTCAGTGAAGCCACAATATAAAGTTTTCAAAAATCAGCGTTGCATATGGGAGCGGTAGAGAGGGAAGGATAGCAGAGATAAGTGCCACCATTAAAGTCCTAAACAGTGCAGAAGTGGTGGTCTCTATCACATCTTTGTTTAATTCATCAGTCTGGCCTTTGCAGGAACTGGACTGATTCTGGAGAATGACTGTAGCCTACTGTAGGCTCAGCCGAGTAGTAGCCCTGATTGCAGTTGCTGTGGGAATGGGATCATTGCTAGGGCAGATTAATAAGATTTGAGATATGTGGTATGCTGCCACTGATTTAGCAATAGTGCACTCTTTTCCATTTCACTAGAAAAGAGGATATGAAACAACTCTTATTGTCATGGAACTGACAAAAATATTCATTTAGAGTTTTATATCAGGGCTAGGTTAATTCTCCTGTCTTCTGTCATAATATAGTCTGGAAAGATCTGGATCACCTGAACAGCCCATAGAATATCATGCTCATCTGTTAGACTGATATGCTAATCAGGCAGGAAGAGTGAGGAAAGGGCTCTGGCTGCAGAGCAAATGGCCCACCACTTGGACCATCAGATTCAGCTGATCCTATGGTTTGGGAGTCCGTGGGTAAACAGATGCTGTATGGAGCTTGTGGCAAGCCCGAGAGGGAGAACCACAATGCAGACTTCTGGAATTCTGGGGCAAGTTCATGCCATCCACTGCAGAGAATTATATACCTTTTGAGAGATAGTTCCTGGCTTAGCCCTGGGCTCTGGTAGAGACACTATCAGTTCAAAAGTCAAAAAATGTCTTAGTATTATTCTGAAAGCAATTTTGAACTCACAGACCCCCAGGGATCTACAGGCCACATTTTGAGAACCACTCTCTAGGTTATGAAATTATGGTTTTCTTTCTTTTTTCCTTCCTCTTACTCCTCTTCCTCTTTTTCCCCTTTCTTCTTCCTTAACAAATCTGTATTTTCTCATTTTTTGTGCAATCAGCTTGTGTTACTTATGTAATTGTTTAAATTTAAGGTTAATTATGAACATCTTTTTTTATTAAATGGGCTCTAAAATAAGAATTTTGTATGTTTACATGTTTAATTAATAAAATAGATATTCCATCTATAACCACTCAGTTGTGTATTTGTCATATCTATTCTTGTCATGCCACCTTCATGCATAGAATTTTATTTTTCTCTTTTAGATTCTTTCTTTGGCTATGTCCTAGCCCAGTCAGCCTAAGACCCTCAAGAACGAACCTTTAGTCTGACAAAGTCAGCTTTGTTGACCCATTGCAATGTGGGAGACTGCCTAGCAGGGAGAACTGTGGGGGTCTGGCCACATAGAGGGAGAAGTTATTGAGGTTTTGAGAGGAAAGGGGGAGGTTGGATGAAATGTAAACCAAGCAATATTTTCACAGGTTTAGTGCAAGGCAGGGATCACAAGGAGATCTGATGTCAGGTCGGACATCAAAGTGGACCCAGAGTCCTGTTCTTTTGGTTTTGGAAACTACAAAGTCAAGTGTGGAATGTTGTTAAGTCCAGAAACTTTTTACCTGAAGCTGCTTCTCTGGGTCACAGTGACTTAGCTCCTCCAGGCATGTTTTATTCTTAGTAGTATGATTTCAAACAGCAAATTTCTGATAATCTGTGATTTTAGAGAAAAAAAAGGAAATCTTAGTAAAAAAGTAATAAACTTTCAAAGAACATGGTTATTGGGACACTTTACAATTGTAACTTGACTTTGGGAGAAATAATGATTCTTATTTATGTTGCTACTAGCTTTATTCACGCCTGTTCTGATGTATGGGCAGGCAGACTTTACTTGCTCGTTCCAAGCTAATTTTTACTTTCTCAGCTATAGAGCCCGAATAGAAATCCTGAACCAAATGATTTAGTCATCTTCCTTTTTTTACTTCCCCAGACCGCATTACCTAAACAGCCCAGCTCCACCCTCAAACAGTCACTCTATTTCTAATGGCAATGGGAAATGCACCTCGTACTCACTGGTCACTGAGGGATCCTTGAGTCCCCAGAAATCAGAGGTGACCCTCCCAAAGGAAGCTACTTCTTACCAGAGGCCATGCAATTGGGAGCTTCTCCATTATGGCCACATCCTGCAGGATGGCCTCCTGAAGGTGGCAGGAACCAGTATCATCATCACCCACCACAGGCAGAGGGTTGGTGCGGGGTCGGGGGTCGTGGGGCGGGCAGGGTAGTTCTGTCCCGGACTAAGGAAGCTAAATTACACACAAACTGCTGAGGCTCCTCTAGAGTTCTGAACTGGGGAATCTACAAATGTTGGACCTCCAGCTAGCCTCCTTCCTTCTCCAGAACCTCCTCCAGATGGGCCACACCCCGTCTTCCTGCCCCCAACAGTCTAATTTTAAATTTATAAAGTACTTCTATAGACAGATGCATATGTCTATACAGTTTACCCACAGGGATACGTCCTGAGAAATGCCTTGTTAGGCGATTTCATCTGTGTGCAAACATTGCAGAGTGCATTTACACAAACCTGGATGTGCTAGCCTACTACACACCTTAGCTGTATGTATAGCCTATTGCTCCCAGGCTATAAACCTACACAGCATGTTGCTGTATTAAAAATAGGCAATTATAACATAATGGTAAGTATTTGTGTATCTAAACATAGAAAAGGTACAGTAAATATACAGTATAAAAGATAAAATATGGTACACCTGTATAGGGTACTTATTACAAATGGAGCTTGCAGGACTGGAAGTTGCTCTGGGTGGGTGATGAGTGAGTGCTGAGTGAATGTGAAGGCCTAGGACATTCCTGTTCACTGCCGTAGACTATAAATACTGTATGCTTAGGCTACATTAAATTTCTAAAAAAATTTTTTTCTTCAGTAATAAATTAACCACTCTTATGGTAACTTTCTTACTTTATAAACTTTAAATTATTTTAACTTTTTTTATAACACCTGGCTTAAAACACAAACACATTGAACAGCTGTACAAAAAAATTTTTTTCTTTATATCCTTATTATGTAAGCTTCTTTTCTATTAAAAAAAATTTTTTTTACATTTAAAAATTTTTTGTTGAAAACTAAGACACAAACACATACTCTGGCCTCGGTCCACACAGGGTCAGGATCATCACTGTCTTCCACCTCCACATCTTGTCCCACTGGAAGGTCTTTAAGAGCAGTAACACCTGTGGGGCTGTCGTCTTTTATGATACCAATGCCTTCTTCTGGAATACCACCTGAAGGACCTGCCTGAGGCTCTTATCGAGGAGATTTAACTCTTCAGAAATATGTCCATGGTGGTTTGCTTGGTTTGTTTCTTTTTTCATCATAGATTTGCTTGTAAGCAGATAATGCACCATGAATATTCCTCTTTATTAATGAAAACCTTTTGGTGTTGGGGGTCCATATTTTCAAACCTTTGAAAGAGCTTCTTGGGGTCTGAATAGCTTTTGCTAAACCCTTTACTGTGAATTTTTGGGGGCGTTCTTTTCTTTCGAAGTTTTCTTTTCTCTGGCTTCTTCTTCGGCTATGTGTTCCTGTTCCAATTCCAACAACTCCTCATTAGTGAATTTCTCAGGAATCACCTCTGACATTTTGATGGCTACAATATCACTAGGTGATAGGAATTTTTCAGTTCCACTGTAATCTTATGGGACCACCATCATATATGCGGTCCATCATGGACTGAAATGTTGTTATGTGGTATATGACTGTATTTATCTATATCAAGAACCTGACTCGTAGCAGATTATCTTGCAAGAATGAACCTTGACAATTTGCCATAAAACGATTGCAATAAAAAGTTTATTTGGAAATTTTTAGAGGTGTTTTAAGCTCTTAACAGCTTCTCAAGTTGAGCAGGAAAAGAGCTTAGTTAGAATGATTTTTGTCCGACTCTTTCATCTCACACAGGAGAAACTATTTCAAATTCAGAGAAGTTAAGTGACTTGGCCAAGGTCACACAGCCCCGCCAGAGTTAACTCTTGTACATTGATTCTCCTGTGGTGCCGAGCAGAAGAGGATCTTTTGTTCTCTCTCCTCCTTGCAGAGATTTTTTTAGGTTACTCTCCTAGTCCTAACAAATAACCCTGTTACGCATGGCTTTGTGTCTCAAATAATCAAATCTAGTTCCTTAACTTGTTTTGTCTCCAGGAAGCTCCCAGCTTTCCGGTTGGTTAAGAAAACTAGCCTGTCTGGTCCAGGTCCAGCCAGCCACACCCCTCTGGGCGGGGAGAGGCGGGGATAACAGCTCACTCCAGCGGTCTCGCTCACGTGACCACTGCAGTTCCTTGTTATGCTCCCTGTCCCAGGCCAGGGTAGGCACTTCCAGGGGCTCCTTCTGTGCGGGGCTGCAGGTAGGTACCCCAGCACTGCCCATGTACCACTGGAGCTGCTGGGGGGAAACCAGACAGGCGGAGTCAGACAGACGTGGGCAGATCCAATGGCGTGCTCTTTAGGCATGGGGACAGAACGTGGCTGGCCTCAAGATTCCTCACACCATCCCTACGTGCCCTCCCTCTCCCCTTGCTCCCTGCTTGCAGGAAGGAAGGCCACTCTGCCCTTCCTCTGTTCTTTGGCCTTCCTTTCTCCTCAGCTACAGACTGTTTCCCCTCTCTCTGCTGATTTAGCAGAGTGCTGCCAGGTGTGGAGAGATTAATCAGTGACAGAAAGCTGCCTCTTTGGGAGCAGTGACCAGCTGTGGTCAGGAGAGCCTCTTCCCGGCCAGCCCTAGGAGTCTGTCCAGCTTCCTGCCTGCTGCTCACCCTCCTGCTGCGGCCATGGGGCACCTTGGGGCCCTCCTCTTCCTGCTGGGGGCCCTGGGGGCTCTCGCTGATATCTGCAGTAAGTAACCAGACTGACCCTGTGCCTTTTTCTTCCTGGGTCCTTAGGAGGGAGGTCTTGTCCAAGCTCCTCATTATACAGCGGGGGAAACTGAGGTTCCAATGTGGCGGGGAGGTACGAATTATCTGCCCCTTTCAGCTCCTCCAGCAGTTCTGGCTTAGCTGGACCTCAGCGTTTAGCACATTGTATTGAGATTAATTATATGACTGACTCCCCACCAGACATGATTGCCTCCATTAATTCAATCATCTGTTCATTTATTCATTAAACGCACATCGATTGAACCTTCTCTGTGACAGGCACAGTATTAGGCTTTGGGGAAGTAACAAAGAGCAAGACAGATCCAATCCTTGCCCCCCTAGAGCTCCCATTCTAGTGAAGGGGACAGTCAAGAGGCAAATAGGTGCTGTGTTTAGGGGCCGTGGTGAGTGCCTAAGGAAGCCAACCAGGCGCAAAGGCCACCGATTCAGGGAGAGAGGTTGGGGAAGGGTTTAAAAGGACCAGAGGGCGTCATGAGAACTGAAACAGGAGGGAAGAAAAGGAGCTTGGAAGGAAAGGAGGGAAGGCTTCCCAGCGGAGGGAAGTGAGTGTAGAGACCCTGGAGGGGAGACAAGTCCCAGAGGAGTAGGGCGGGCATTTGTATGATACTCTTTTCACAGGAGTCTGGCTGCTTGGGCTCTGTGTCCCATGGCCAGGACCCCAGGGGCCTCCTAGGACTTGCCTGAGTCTGATTGCACAGGCTCGGGGCTGCCTGGGCACTGGGGCCAGGCAGGAAGCAGAAGCCATGAAGAGAAGCCTCTGAACTTTGGGGCCACCCACTTCTCTTCTTCCCCCCAATACTCTGCTGACAGCATTATACTCTACAATACACTTTCACCACCAGGGTAGGGTCTCTTCTGATCCTTGGAGAAGCAGGGAGGCAGGTTCAGTCATGTCCAGGTGATAAATGAAACAGTCAAAGGTCAGAGGGGCCAGGTGACTTGTCCAAGGCACTCTAGCTTTCCAGGGCTTTGCCAGACTCAGTTCTCAGAACTCCAGGAAAGGTCTCGCCTGGGCACCAGGAGCCTCTGACCTGTGTTCCGCAAGTGCAACCAGACCCCTCGGCTCTTGGATTTGGGTTGCCGTCGAGACAGGCTCCAGGAAAAACCTAGGACCTGGTCCTCAACTTCACTGTGAACATGTCGACAGTTGGCCCTTAGGCCCAACCCTATAAGAATCCCCTTCCCGTGGGGCCCCGAGAGCCCTGGGCTGGGTTTGGGGTGCAGTTTGCTGCCGCTGAGCCACTTAAGTCACTCCCAGCCTCATTCTTTCACCTGCAAAATGGGTAAGAATGCTCTCAGCTTCCCTCCTTCGTGTGGTGTCAGGAGCCCACATACCTTCTTTACCAGCTTAAAGCTCTGTGAAATTGGCAGGGATGTTGCACTAATGTTTGTGCAAAGTGGGCTCCTGTGCTTTACACAAATGTCAGTGCCAATCAGGCCTCAGCTGGCAGAGCTGGGTGGCACCCGTGAGCAGGCGGCCCTAGTGGGGAGGAAGGTCTCCCAGGACCACTTTTATTACCCTGTGTGAATCTGCCCGGTTTCTTCCTTCTAAAGAGGCTGTTTACAGCTCCAGCTCCTCTTTTTGTCACTTTGACCCCAGGGCTGACTCACCTGCTTGAGGTCAGAGCCCAGGGCGGGGGCAGGGCCTCCCTCACCAGTTTGAAGGAAAAGGAGAGGG